AAATCCATGTTTCTAATAATTTGCTATTTTTGTTTTAGGTTATTAGCTTGTGCATCGTCAGATTTACATTTATACTGGATAACCAAAGAATCATTGTTATTTACACATAGATTAGATAATATATTACCTAGACAACTACACAGATTATTGAAACAAATTATATGGAAGATGCAAATATTTAAAAATGAAAAGACTGCAACTGAAATAACTCTGATTGAGTTATGCAAATTCTACTTGCAACCTTTAATTTTTAAACATCTAGTATCAAATTGTCATGATTGCACTGATTTTCAATATGAAAGTGAGTATTATAATATATAAACTGTTTCTATGTAGTTTATATAATACTTTTTTTTATTTTTTTTTTTCAGTAAGATTTGAACTGATTCCAAACTTGTTAAAAGAAAGAGAATTAATTATTAAAAATGGAAATGTTATTACATATTGTTCAAACTGGAAAAAAGTACTTCAATCATTATTTTGTAATTATGTAATGAATGAACTGAATATCATGAGGAAACAAGCACTACAGACCATAAAACATGATCTTAGATTTCATATTTTAAATCAAAAAGTTCAATCGTATCTTTTCAAGAAAAATGCTGCTCATGGAAACATAACTATTGATAACATAGACGCAAAAGCACAAAAATTTCCCTTATGTATGCAACATTTACATTCTGTGTTAAGAAGCAGACATCGTCTTAGTCATTATGCTCGCTTATACTATAGCCTTTTTCTAAAAGAAATTGGGATGGAATTAGAAGATTCAATCATATTTTGGAAGCAAGAATATTCCAAGCCACATACTTGTTCTTCAATATGTTCACATAATTGGCAATCAAATGAAAAAAAATTCATATATAGCATTAGACATATGTATGGTTTAGAAGGATCTCGAAGAAATTATAAGACACCTGACTGTAATTTAATTTGTGTAAGTATAAAAATTTCATAAAATCTTTTCTAACTCAAAAGCTTTACATATGTAAAGCTGCCAAATATATTAAAACAGAAATAGTTCCTTTTTAGTAAAAAAATAGAACTATTCTTTCAAAAAAGGTCTTTTTTTTTTTAAATTGAAACTATATTGCAGGGTGGTATTAGTGCAATGTACGAAGGTGGTTGTCCTTTCAAAGATTTTAATGTGGATACACTCAAAAATCTTTTACACACTTCATTAACTGAAGATGAAGCAGACAGACTTATAAATAACATGTCTAGTAAAAGTCCAGAAGTTCTTTGCAGCGCTTTTTTGAGACTTTTATGCAAAGACAGTATTGATAATGGTATTATTAAAAGTCCGATAGAATATTATCACAGAATAAATGATTAAATATTTGTGTCCTATTGATAAATCTGTATAATAATTTGTACTATCTATTCTTGCTGATATTTTAAATTAATACTTGTATATTATCAAAAAATTTCATCAAGATAGAAATTTTGTCAATAAATCTTTTGTAAATATTATTAAAAAGAAAGATGCAGCTAATTTATACATAATAAATTATATTAATATTATAAATTATATAATTATTAAGATAAATTTATAGCAGAGTTTAAGAACTCTCATTGTTTGCTAAATGATTGTAGAGCATTTTTTATAACATGATGAGTTACACCATCTTTAACTAATACGGCATGTACTCCAAGTTTACCAACTTCTATGATATTTCTGGTCTCGTCATCAAAAAAAAGCATATCTTTGTAATCAGCTTGAGAGCTCTTTTGAATGCTGGAAATTATATTCGATTAAGTCTCAATTTTATACTACTATACAACAAAACAAGTTTTAGAACAGAACTTACTTTAAAAAATGTGTGACTTTGCTACCAGGAAATATTTCAACATATTTGAAATATTTGTTCCAACCAAATAAATCTAATAATTGTTTAGCACCTTTTATTTCTGATGTACGTGATGCTATACCGAGTTCATATCCTTCCTTTGATAACAGTTTTAATATATCAGGAACATTGGTATAATATTTTATTGTATGACCGTGTGCATCTACTACTTTATTCTGTGTTCTAAAATTTCATCTTTCTTTTAAGTCTAGTAAATTATTAAAATAATATTATTTTTGCACTTTTTTTATTTATGTAAAGGAAAAAATGTACAAACCCTCTTCTAAATGGAGGAGTTACATGAGTGTCAACCCAAAATGGCCACAAAGTATAATCTGAAAGTTAATATTTCTCTCGTCTATTTATCTATAGAAATTATTCTAAATAATTTTGGCAAAATATAATGAAAACAAATACTAATCGAAGTTATTGAAAATTTCTTATACGTTTCAATTATAACATTCACAATTTTGTCTGTACCTAAATCAAAGACAATAATTTTTGGTTTCTTCTCCATTTTCTTGGTGATGGAATTATAGTTTCATGTGCAGAGTCAAACAAAAATAAAATGATTGTTGCTAATATATCACGTAAATATTTCCTTCTTAAAGAGAATGAATAAAAATATAAATATTTACAGGATAACCTTCTATTACTATCTACACATTTGTATATATAGTTGTACTGCAACATTGTCGAGAGGGAGTTAGTGAATACGCCATTTTTTCAAAAATAATATAACTCTCGTAAAACAGTCTTCAAAGTATTCTCGACGATGCTTTCTTTAGGATCAAAACATGCCATATTTTATAATAAATGTGTAATTTTTACTATTCTGATATTAATTTGGGAGATAATTTGAAATTGTTTTTTAACTAAAATGCTTTTTATTTGATATATTTTATATTATATTAATACTTTTATAGAATTATATGCGTAAGTAAAAGCGCTGCAAAGAAAGTTTGAAAATGGCGAACTTTCCGTTAATCCATCGTCATATCCAAATATTGAGAAAATTTCAATCGATATAATAATTAATTACAAAACGATAGCATATTATATTGCGTACCTGTTGCGATGAACGTGCATCAGTTGTATTTTCGATTCGCCGAGAGAAAATAACGCGAAATAGGCGAGGAAACGGTTTTCCATCGGAACTTATTTGAATTAACGGACATACGGACGCAAACCACTGGCACTGAGAGATCCCGACATTAAGATATTAAGATTGTAGCGATTGTACGCAACATTTATATAATGCGTCGCGACAACTTTACGAAAGACACTCGCGATATCAATTTCCGCGCGCTGAAACTCGTTTTTAGATAACACTCGCGAGAAATACCGAACGACAAGAATCTATCGGACCGCGATTCCGTCTCGACTCCGTCCTTCCTTGACTCTACTTCGAGAATCGCAATTTCGCAATCGATATTCATCGCAAAGTTCACTCCACTTGAAACTAGACATAAATCGAACCGTTTGATCGACCAATCAGGTCAGAGAGGCAAAGATTCCCTTATTCTCATTGACCAATCACGCGAGTGGAAACATTTGTTTGATAATTTTATATAAGTCGTTATATGCATTTTTGACACTAACATAAATTTCATGTCAAGACGTAGAAATAACATGTAAAATTGAAGATATATCTGCAATGCAAATCTGTTTTAGAATCGGCTAATCAAATATGACGAATTGTAACTAGAGAAATATAAAAAAACACGTGAAATTAGGCTTTATGTGTAATTTTTAATAATGTAAATAATCTTTCTAATCTCAAAATATTTTTACTATTCTAGTATTAATTTGAGAAATAATTTGGAATTGTTTTTTAACTAAAATACTTTCTATTTAATATATTTTATATTATCTTAATGATTTTTTAGAATTATATATGCGTAAATAAAAGCGCTGCAAAATTCGAAAATGGCGAGTTTTCTGTTTATCGATCGTTATATCCAAACACATTAAGAAAAGTTCAATCGATATACTAACTAATTACAGAACAATAGTATAGTATATTGCATACCTATTGTGACGAACGTGTATCAGTTATATTTTCGATTCGCCGAGAGGAAATAATGCAAAGTATGCGAGGAAACGGTTTTCGATTGGAACTTTGAACGAGCGGATATACAGACGCAACTACTGGTTGCGTTCGAAAATCTTACCCGTAGGGTAGAATAGCATTTAACCAATCGGAATAAAAGGAGCAAAGATTTCTTTGTCTTGATTGGTCGATCAAACTCTACTTTACCCCGCGGGTAGAATTTCTGAACACGCCCATAGTGGACAAGATGATCGAACGTAACGATTGGTTGTCGAATAGGGAACTTCTAGACAAATGTAACATCACTCTAAAGTCCAACTAATCGTTGCATTTGCTCTTTCTATAGTATAGTCGCATATCCGTCGCATCATTCTTGATTATTCTCGTTTGTTCTCGTTTACCGACTTTGTCAGGTGAGAAGTATCGGTGCAAGTCGCTTTAAAGCGATTCTTGGGTAATATATATCACAAACGTCTATTGAATATACCACGTATGTTATTTATTACTTCTCATGAATGTAGTAAATAATATATATCATCAACTGTTTATCGATATAATGTACGATAATTTCTTCACAATTCCTGCAGAGTAGACACATATCAGGCTAGTTCAATGCACGCATAATTCTTATTAAATTTGCTCATTAAATTAAAGCAAAATCTGCGGTTCATTTTAATATACTTTGGTCATTTTTATATATTAGGCTAGAAGCAGTTGTAATTTTCATTTAGTTCTCAGACTAGGAGCAGTGCCATTGTTGCAATTTTTAAAGAAAATGATGAACATTTATCTTCCTTATTTTGCAAGTCTGTATGTGTTTTGATCTGATTATTGTGTTTTAATCTAATTATAGATTAATTCAGGTGTATGTAGAGAGATAAGCAATTTCTTGCAAAAAGTCATAAAAGATAGAAACAAGTATATTGAACCATAAAACACTTTTCTACATATATCTAGAATATTAATCTAACATATTTCTTGATATTATACTGATAGAAACTCTTATTAATATAAGATAAAAAATAAAAAGTCAAATTGTCTTTCTTGATATTTTAAATTAAATCGCATGGTACGAAGCTAGCAGAATCTGATAAAAACAAAATTGTGCTCGACAGCTTGAAACAATTTTTGAGAAAAAATAAATTGCACTTTTAATGAAATTACATATAATTATTTTAAATATACTATAATAATAAATCTCTGTTAATAGGAATTATTATTATAAAATAAATGATTAAAATATCTTTTAATATCTACAAATGTACTTGAAACATGTGCAAGTCTTATTTACGCTTATTTTATTGTTACCAATAGCCTGAATAGCATCTCTTAATTATTGTTCTGTTCACAATTCTTTTGCTGAATATTTTTGTATTCTTCTGCCTTTGATATTTTGTTGGAATTGTTTTTATTTTTACTTATAATCTATACTGTAATTATTTGGAAGTATATAATTTAATTTGGATCATAATTTATTATGATTATTATTAAAAAATGTACGTTATTTATTTGGAAGAAAATAACTAAAAAAGAAAGATCACTTTTAAAATTGTTTTATCTATTCTTATTAAAATTGGCTCAACTTTTCTATTTTTAAGTAATAAATAAATCATTTCAACATTTGTTACTAGACATAAATGATCAGATTTTTTTAAAGTAATGATGTGTATAATTTATATAGATTTGATTTAATAATAAATCAATAAATATAATGTATAATATTTATAAATACTCTTTTAACTTTCTTATTTATTATTTGAAAATATTTTAATACTGACTAGTTTTTATATTACAAATATATAATGTATACAAACTTGGCAATATTGAAGAATGTCATTAACTGATCTAACTAAATATTATAATACTGTATTGCTTATAAATCTCTAGACATTGATTCAAAGATAATATTATTAATTTTCATTTATTGTCTCATTATAGAAATGTCTGAGTCAGATCTTTTGGCTAGTGACCATATTGATGGTCTTGATGGTCTTGAAAATGGTCAAGATGGAGATGCTATCATGCAATGTGATGGTGTTAAGCGTGAATTAAGTGAAGCAAATATTGATGATCCTGTAAGTAATCGCTATCATTATACTAGGAGACAACAGTATATAATCATAATAAAATTTTCCTTGTGCAAAAATTATTTAACTTATGAAATATTGTTTATAACTTAGGAATTAGAGGCGATTAAAGCACGAGTAAGAGAAATGGAAGAAGAAGCAGAGAAATTGAAACAACTCCAATCTGAGGTGGATAAACAAATGAATATGGGTAGTCCACCCGGTATCAGTAAGTTTATAAATTTGTATTTTCTATGAACTATATATAAGAATAGGACACTACATACTATCACATACTTTAGTTCAGATTCAGATTCTCTTTTTGAATTTCTGTTTTAGTTGGGATAAAGTGTGTGCAACGGTTTCTTTATATTTTTTTACAATGAGATTGTTTTATATTCTCATGGATTTTGTTCTTTTATCACAATCAGATATTATATTAACACTCAATTTACCTTAAGTCTTTGGAATGGCATAAACCAGGATTAAATTATCGATTTTCAGGCGACAACTCTATCACTAAACTAAATCTAATTTTTTATAACTATACATTTTTTAGTTATATTTGATAATAACATTATTTTCTTATCATGTATTTAATTTTAGCAAGCCCATTAAATATGTCATTGGAAGAAAAAGTGGAAGTTGACAATCGATCCATTTATGTTGGCAATGTAAGTTAAATCTAATTTATGCTTCTTAAAAAATCTGCAACATAATATACATGTTAAATATATCATTTTTATATTCTCAATCAATATTTTATATATATACAGGTTGATTATGGGGCTACAGCAGAAGAGTTAGAGCAACATTTTCATGGCTGTGGCAGTGTCAACAGAGTAACAATTTTATGTAATAAATTTGATGGTCATCCCAAAGGTTTTGCTTACATTGAATTTGCCGAACGCGACTCTGTGCAAACCGCAATGGCCATGGACGAATCTATGTTTAGAGGTCGTCAAATTAAAGTAATGCCTAAAAGAACAAATAAGCCTGGTTTCTCTATGACAAATAGGTAATATTCTGTTTTATATAATATATATTATATATAATTATAAGATAATATATAAATTTTATAAACTATAAAAAGAAAAATTGAAGTATAATCTTATATATAAAAAAGTTATACATTTGTTTAAATTTTTTCTGTAAAGTGATATATATCTATCTTATTGTCTGTATATTTACCAGGGGTCCCAGAGGTGCAAGAGGCTATCGAGGTATGACTAGAGGGATTATTCGTGGTAGTGCATATTATGGATATAGACCTACAAGGCGGCCTAGGTAATAATTAATTTTGACTTATTTTCTTTTAATGAATACATTAGCAATTTCTACAATATATCTTTATTTTTTCTTTTTAAAGCAATTTATTTTGTTTCCTTGTGTAAATTCTATTATTTTTTTTTTTTTTTTTTTTTTGTAGGAGTTACAGACGTGGTTTATAAGATAATATATAAATTTTATAAACTATAAAAAGAAAAATTGAAGTATAATCTTATATATAAAAAAGTTATACATTTGTTTAAATTTTTTCTGTAAAGTGATATATATCTATCTTATTGTCTGTATATTTACCAGGGGTCCCAGAGGTGCAAGAGGCTATCGAGGTATGACTAGAGGGATTATTCGTGGTAGTGCATATTATGGATATAGACCTACAAGGCGGCCTAGGTAATAATTAATTTTGACTTATTTTCTTTTAATGAATACATTAGCAATTTCTACAATATATCTTTATTTTTTCTTTTTAAAGCAATTTATTTTGTTTCCTTGTGTAAATTCTATTATTTTGTTCTTTTTTTTTTTTTTGTAGGAGTTACAGACGTGGTTATTATATGCCATATTGACCATTTTAAAGTGTGGCAACTGATTAATTGTAGCTAAATATTTTATAGCTTCTCAAAAAAAAAATCAATAAAACGTTAAATAAAAGAATATATATAGAAACAAAAAGACTCAAAGAATATTAACAAACAAACAAAAAAAATATTTAAAAAACATTTCTTTGAACAATTTCTTAACTTCGTGCATTTTGTTATAACTCAAGGAAGGACCAGACATACTTGGATTATAATAATTCGGCAATAATAATATTAATAGATTATCAACATTATTCTAATGTAAACAAATAAAAATATTAGAATACATTGAAAAATATAATTTACTGGTCACTCCTTAATGCAATATAGACGGCAAAATTATTATTAAATACTAATTATTACTTGACTCTTAATACATTAACCTGATGTATCTATATAATCAAGCTCGATCATTTGTATGTGCAATAAAACAAAGAATCATAAAAAAGTTAACAATTATCTATTTGTTTTATTCATTAAAAATAATTGGATCGATATCTAGATACATTAGTACATTGACACTTACATCAGTATATTGACACTTGGCCATGATGAAAATTTATACTAGTGAAGAATATTACAATACATACAAAATTGTGAAATAACATCTTGCACTAATGTAATATTTTATTTCGCTCCATTTCTTTATATTGCATATGTACTGCAGTTTTTTAATTAAGAAAAAAGAAAATTACTACATTTTTTTACTATTTCCAATTAAACATTTTTATTAAATATTATTTATATGTTTAATACTCTCTCTCTCTTTGTGGGTTGAGAATATGGCCTTGTGAGATGTAATATTGCAAATTGTAAGTTTTTGTGGAAAATTGCCTAACAATTCACACAAAAAACTTGCAAATATATATATCATCATGCATTTCAATGAAAAGCGGCTAAGATATTTAAGTAAATTCTTATGATATGTCCACAGAAAAAAAAACTGATACGATGGAAAAAAAAGAGTGAAAGAAAAACATCATGTCAAAAGAAAAAAAAGATTGGACAAAGATGGGCACAATTATTCATATATATTTGATTTAATAATCATCATACAAAAATACAGATGTAGAACAGCGATCATTCACTATTGTAGTTCAATTAATTTTTGTTAAAGCTTCAATATATTACTATACTAGTGAATTCTCTAATGAACTGAATTCAATTTTTTGTATCCACCTTCAAAAAAATTTTTTCAGAATTTCTTATTTCGTTTTGTTTAATTTATATATACTTCACATAATTATATTTTATAATATTTAACAAAAA